GAGAGAGATTGCTGTTTGGGTCCCCCTGCGCAGTAGTCTCAGTGCCCTTTTACTCCTGCCAGAGGCCATGTCTACACGAGAGCCCTCTACGGTATAGGTACACTGGTATGCTATACCAGCAAAGCACTCCTAGCGTGCACGCAGCTATCCCAGCGTAGCTGTGCCTTGTTTCGGTGTAGCAACCACCCCTGTGAACAAAACAAGATACCCCGGTGAAAGAGCCGCTTTGCCAATATAGCTGCACCTACGCTAAGGGCTTCTGCCAGCACAGCTTTGCCAGTCGGGGGTCACACGTTTTCACACCGCTGGCCGGCAGATCTATGGCGGCTAGAGTCCACTGGCTTCTCAGGCCTCTAACCCATTCCCCTGTCACACCCAACACCTAGCCATGATTGGCTGCCCCTAGTCCTTGCCTTCCTCCCTGACAATGAGACGATGGCCACAGTTAACTTGATGCCCGAAGTGGCAGGTGGGTTATTTTTGAACCTCTTCTCTCCCTCTTTGTAACTCCTCACCCCCTCCCCCCAACCCTTTCTTTCCTTTACTTCCTACTTTAACCTGCAAACGTCCTGGGGATTGCGATGGCCTACAAGTCTATCACTTTTTTTAATCTATAATTGTTCTTGTGTTTATTGATCCCTGCTGAGATCAGGGCCTCATTGTGCTTGGTCCTGTGTGTACAGGGTAAGAGATGGAAAATAAACGGCCATTGGATGCCTAACCCTTTTTAGGGGCTTTTGAAAAATCGAACCCTAACAGACGTTCCAGAGGTCGCATGTGGCATCTGCAATAGAGCAGGGAGTTGAGCTCTGATATTCTAAACCCCTGGCCAGTGCCTTAATCCCAAGACTAGCCTTCCTCCTCCACATCCCAGAGTCTTGCACAATTCCAGCAATGGCACCATAATAAACTTGGGAGCTTGCAGAGTGCTGCACCCCTGGAATGTCAGAGGGGGCCGTGGAGATCTCGGATGGCTTGGCTAATTTCAGGACAGCAGGTGACCCTGTAACTGGCTCATCAAGGCACGGATGCTCCCACTTTCCTGTGGGCCCCCAACTCCAGTCACTCGGAGGCTCTACTTTCCCCCAGGACTGTGGTGAATTGGTCCCCTTTGGAAGGGGAAAGGGTGTGACAGTGCCTGCTGGCAGGAGGAGGACTAGTGGAATGAGATTAGAGGGTGACTGTGGGGGAGAAGGAACAGGGCAGAGCAAGAGGGTGGGGGTGGCTTGTGAAGAGACGGGCGGCTGGCGTGTATGTGTGAGCAGCAAGTTCCCTGCCAGGCCAGGGGCTAAGCAGTTAAGGTGAAGGGGGTGGAGGGGGCGGGAGACTGCACTGACTGGATTCTGGGCTGGCACAGCTTGTGGCGGTCACCTGCTGTGGCCCAAAGCGGGGCTGCTTGAGAGAGGGAGAGCAGATCCGCTGGCATGGGCATAAGTGGGGAGACAAACCTGACCCATGGTCCATGTTTGTGCTAGCAGTTGAGGGGAACAGTTATGGGAACTTGCGGAGTGGGGACTCTGGGACATAGGGGGGCTCTCTGCTTCTGGCATGCAGCTGGGTCTGGGGAGGGGGCAGCAGCCCTGGGCTGTAAGGCGCTCGCGCTCTCTCTCTCCCCCTGTGGCAGAGAGTCTGTGTGTTTGAGGAGTGGGGATGGCAGGCAGCAGGCCCAGGTGGGACAGGTGCAGGGCTGAGTTGTGGGGTGGCAGAGCAGAATATAGGGTGTGGGGGCCCAGCCTGTGAGGCTCTGGGGGGGACAGGTGCAGGGCTGAGTTGGGAGGTGCATTCTGTCACTCTGGTACAGAGCCAGCGTACAAGTGGGGCTGTGAGGCTCAGCCCCCTCCCTATGGCACAGAGCTGGGTGTGCCAGTGGGGCTGCAGCTGTCCTTGTTCTCTGACTCCATGTGCCTGGCATTCCTCCCTTCCCCCACGTGCTGGGAAGCGTGCGCTCATCCTCCCCTCCCAGTCCCTGGGCCATGACACCGCATGAGTCAAACCACCCCATTATTTTCCGTCCGGTCCAGAGACTGGGTGGGGCTCGTTCCCAGGCAGGCTTGTAGGGACACCCGGGCTGACTTCACTGACCGGCTTTCCTCTCCCTGGATCCTGCCGCCACACGCCTCCGTCTCCCTTCGGACTGCGTGGTGCCAGCCAGCCTGTGATGGGAGGGGGGCCTTGTTTACCCTCCGCTCTCCACACCTCCTGCCTCTGCCAGGGCTGCTCCTTCCCTGGCCCCCCTGATCTGCAGGTGGCTGCAGCTGGGTAGAAGGGAGGATTTTGTTCTCCTCCTGTCCCCAGTGGAAGCACCTGGGGCTCAAGGAGGGGAAAACCCCCTCAAGTGACAGGGAAGTCAGTCTCCAGTTAGAGGGTCTGGCAGGGTTTCCAGGCTACCCCAGCCCTAGCCCACATGTGGAGGGGAGAGACAGTCCAAGTGGCTACAGTTCAGAGCACAACTCCGAGTCTGACCTCCCCTGCCTGGTGCATCTCGGGAGTTGGCAGGAACCTGGCTGGGGCACCCTTAAGGTGGAAAATGCAGTGCTCTGAGTTTTTTAAGGTGGAGCTGGTGAGAAGGCAGGGGGGTTATTGATAGATTTCATTTAAGTCCACCCCAACGTAATGCTGGTTACCCAGCCCCCAGGAGACCATTCTTGTGTGTCGCAACAGGGCAGAGATGGCTTTGTGGTGAAGGCACTGGACTGGGGTTTGAGGACTGGGCTCAACTCCTAATTATGCCCCAGACTTTTCTGTGCGACCTTGGGCAAGTCACATCCCCTCTCTGGGCCTCAGTTCCACATCTGTTAAAGGGGGGGAGGGGTTAACGCCCAGATATGGAACTGGGGCCCAGAGAGGGATGCGACTTGCCTCACTGCCCAGCTGAGGGCACACCCATTAATGGCTGGAGTGGAGGGGACCATGTGCTCCAGTGACGGGCCGCGTGAGCACCTTGATCTATAAGCAGTGGTGTGTGGCCAGCTGGGCCTTGACCATGGGTGTTGGGGGCAGCCCCAGGGATCTGACTGTCTCTCGTTAACCCTTCTTTCTCCCCCCCCCCCCCACTGGCCAAAAAAATACACGTGGCAAAGGGGGCGAGAGGGAGAGGTTTCATTGTGATGGACTTGCGCCAGTATAAGACTGGTGGAAGCAGCAGCTGGGCTCTGGAGGTCTCTCCCCAAGCCCACGTCTTCCCTACAGCATCAGCCCAGCAATGTCTCCCTGCCAATGGGGCTGAATTTACAGATCCAGCCCTGGCATGAATGGAAGCACCCATTACTGTCCCTATCTGTGCAGCTCTCTGCACTGACTCTCCTTCCCTTGATTTCCCTCCCATGTCACAGGCCTTTTCTGGAGTCCTGGAGGAGGGGGACTGCAGGTGGAAGGGATGGGGAGGGCCCCCCACTTGATCTGGCCCAGGGCCCCACAAACCCCTAATCTGCCTCTGCCAGCTTCCCAGAGTTGGAAAAGCCCTAGGACGTCTTGGAAGAACTGGGTGTAGTTGATTGTGCAGGCTAGGGAAATCAGGAGTGATGCCTTGGATTCTCTGCCACCTTGCCTGGGAGCTGGATGCAGCGCAGATCTGGTTGTCTGAGGCTTTGTGGGTGGTACCTGCTGCCCACATGCTAGGCAGAAGACTGATTTCTCCTGAAGGCCTGGGGCTGCAGAGAGCTCTGGCAGCCGCTGCCTCTCCTGTGAGCGGGAGGGAGATACTGAAGCAGGCAGCTCTGATTCCACACCCGTTATAAATGCCAGATTCACAGCTAATTTGATGCCACGTGTAAACAAGCCAGTGAGCACCAGCTGGCATTCATTGGCACATGAGAGGTTTGCTAGGTGGCAGCTGTGTTGGAAAGGTGGCGAGAATCACTACCTTTGGTTTGTTGATCCGAGTTAGTGTGTCCCTTGTTCCCTCTGGCTTTCGCCCCTCTTTGTATGGTACCTGGTCGCAGCTGAACGTCTACACTTGAAAGACCCACCCGTACCACTGCGTCTGAGCCCAAATCCGGTGGTAGCCATGTAGACATTGGGGCTCAGGCTGGAGCCCAGGCTCTGAAACTCTCCCCCTTGCTGGGTTACAGAGCTCGGGCTCCAGCCCGATCCTGAATGTCTACACTGAAGTCTCTAGCCCTGCAGCCCAGTCCCCGCGACCCTGTCAATTGCCCCGAGCTCTGACACTCAGCACTGTGGGTGTTTCTCCACAGTGTAGACATACTTGTAGGGACAGCCCAGCTCACGTGGTGTCAAACCTGCGACTTGCCCAGTTTGCCTCATTCTCTCCCGTCCCTTTGCTGACCAGTCACACACCTTCCCTAGCAGGCTGATCTGGGTTGGTGGGGGAACCCCAACTGGGAACCAGAGTAAAGCTACCCACTGTTCTCATGACCCACTCCACCCACTGACGGGTCCCTGGCCCAGTGTCGGGGATAATGGAGAGTGTAGCGGGGGCTCCCAGGTTTCAGTCTTGCTGCATCATTCAAGGGAAATCACCCAGTTGGGCTCACTTGTCTCCGAGGGCAGCTCTGGCACTTGTAACCTCAATGCAAATCAGTGCTGTTTGGTATGGGTGGAGGAAGCTTGCCAACTTCTGGTCTGGAGCCTGATCTCTCCAGGGCCTGAGCGCCCTCTGCTGTTGTCTGTTGTAGAGGCCCAGCCAGAAAAGCACATGCATGGGAGTAACCAAGAATAAGTAGTAGTGCTGTCTAGTGGATGGGTATTAGGAGACCTGAGTGACTTCGGACAAGACACTTGCTCAGTGCCTCAGTTTCCCCTCCCACTGTCTGTCTGTTTTATCTGTGTAGGTTGTGAGCTCTCTGGGACAGGGTCTGTCTGTACAGCGCCTGACACAATGGGGCCCTGATTTTGGCTCTGCTGTAATCTAAATAACACTGAAGGGAGTGCTGGAGAACGAAGGTACCCAGGGATATCTGAGGATGATGTGTCAGCTGCAGGGATGGGGGTGGCAGGGTGACTTTCCTCTCCTCACCTCTCCTTCTTGCCTTCCCCTCCAGGCTTATCTGGGAACCCAGCAGATCTGGAGAAGCGGAGGCAGGTCTTTGGCCAGAACTTCATCCCACCCAAAAAGGCCAAGACCTTCCTGCAGTTAGTCTGGGAGGCGCTTCAGGACGTCACGCTGATCATCTTGGAAATCGCAGCCATAATCTCCCTGGGCTTGTCATTCTATCACCCCCCGGGCGGCGACAGCGAATGTGAGTGCCCCACGGCTTGGGGGGAGAAGGGGGAGGGGCAGTGTCTCCTGGAACGTTCGCTCAGAACTGGTACGGAAGGGGTTGGTCTTGCCAGGAGCTGCACCATCATATCTCCTGGGCTGTATCATCTGCGTTCTGGAAAAGGGTCTCTGGTCGCTGCTTTAGGCTTCCTCTTTAGGATCAATCCTCCGCTGGTGTGACCCTGGAGTTCCACCAGCTTCAGTGGCGCTATCTGGATTTGCACTGGCTGATTTGCACTGATTTGGCCCAATGCCTTTAATGGAACTCTGTGGCTTTGCACCAGTTGGGGATCTGGGGCCTGATTTCCCCCTGCCCCGGCACACATGCTACCTGATTGACCAGTAAGCAGATTTTCCCTAGCTGAGTTCCCTAACATACAGCTGACATCACTGTGTTTTCCTGCCTGTTTCCTCACCAGCACACCCTTCCCACGGTACAGCTAGGTGCTACAGTGCTGGTTGTGACAGAAAATGCTAACATCCATGAGCTGATCCAAGCCCATTGAAGCTAATGGAAAGAGTCCCATTAACCTCGAATGGGCTTTGGGTCAGGCCCATAGACAAAAAGGGTTAGTTCCTATGTCCTGACCACATTCCATCTCTGTTAATTCTCTGCCCCTGGCAGTTTCCGGGAGATACAGGATTCACTTACTGCAACACCATTTAGAACAGGGCCCTGTTAAACACCTTCGAGGCGCCACCTCAGAAGTGGCTGCATCTGAAGGATGGGGGAGTCAGGATTCCTGTTAATAGTGTAGTGGAGAGGGCTTTGGGATTGTTCGGGCTTAAAAGGCGCTATACAGAAAGATATGAGAGCCACCTTCCGAGTGTCTCTAGTCCCTGCAAGGAGAAGTCAGTGGCACGATCCTGGCACTAAGGGGTGCTGTGGGCTGGACGTGAGACCCTAGGCTGTGGTGTGGGGGGGTTGGAAGCCAGTACTTTCCCCTCCAAGCTAGAAAATGGAGCTGAGTTTTCATCCTTTGGAACCATTCAGTAGAGGAGAGGAAACTGCAGCATGTCTCGTACCCTGTGCATCTCCTCATCAGCTTATGCATCGAAATGAATCACAACTCTAAACACAAGGAAGCCAGGCAGGCTTGGCGGATGGGCTGAGACAGGCAGGGGGGAGAAATTCTGCTCTTGGCCTGAGATAGCAAAATAATCCCAATTGGAGACCCCAAGAGAAAAACAGCTCCCTGACCAGGGGCGACAGGCTGAAGAAAGGGGATGAAGGGCAGAGGGGCGGTTTGAGTGACATGCTGATCGGGGCTTGGTCTGCACCCCTGGTGTGCGGGTAGCTAGATAAATGGAGGCAGGCCTTCACTGGTGTGACGGCAGCATGCAGGGTCCCGGCTGGTCAAAGTCCTGCCTTTTCTATGGCCCCATCTGACTCCCATCCAGCTCAGTGGGAGTCACTCCATCCCCAACCTGTGATCCTGGCTGTGCAGCGCTGTATGCCTAGAACAAGGGAGGAAGGTTCTCAGGACCTGTCATGTATCCATACGTGTGTGTGTGTGTAAGCTCTTATCTGCCACCAAGATACCAAGCACTCACCTATGTGTTTATTAGTAGGCTTAGAAATACCTGAGTGATGGTCTGTATAGCCTAACCATACCAGATCCCTGTGCACATGCATAAACCATAGCTAAAATAAAAGCACCCCCATCCCCTGAACCTCCTCATCCTAGCGCATGATCATTTACGTTTTGTGTTTGTGCACTGGTGGTCATCCTGCTGTGTGCTCAGCCCCTGGGATACCTACCATGAAGCAGGCTATACGGGGTCAATCGTAGCTGTCATGAGAGAGAGACACGTTTCCCACAGGCTGATCTCATGTCAGAGTGTATAATCTAGCACATGTCATCCAGGGATCTGAGTCCTTTGCCAGAGGCATAATCAAGACTTCGCAATGTCCCTGTCAGGTGGGCTGAGAGGTGTGGTCTGACCACGTGACTTAATTCCAGCTCTGATGGGGTGCCCCTTTGTGGTTTTGGAGGTGGCTGGGCAAGGCACTTCACCTCTCTGAGCCTCTGTAAATCAGGGCCTTAATCTGTGAGGATTAATTGGTTAAGGGTTGCAAAGTTCTCTGCAAGGGCCCAGTGATGGGGCTTACTTAGTTTTTATTGGCTGCTGTTTTGTTTCTTAGATGGTGGCTCTTTGAAGTATCAAATTGGGATAACAATTGAGGAAAGCGAGACCCAGAGATGGTGACTCATTCCCAAAGTCACACCTAGAGAGGGCATGTCAGAACTGTGAAAAGAACCCTGGTGTCCTGATTCCCAGGCTCCTGCTCTGTTAGCCCGGCCTCAGAAATGGCTGGATGGGCAGTGTGCCCATAGGGGAAGGGGGAGACCAGAGGGGAGTGACTTGTGGGAGAAAGGGACAGGAGGCATCTGTGTGTATGTGGGCCTTTCAGGCCCTTTGCTGTGCAACACACTGATAGATGCACCGAGATCTCCTTTACGTGACTGAATCTTCCTCTTCTCTGTGCTTCCTGCCGCCCGGCAGTGTGCGGCCAAGCAGCGGCGGGCGCGGAGGACGAGGGGGAGGCGCAGGCTGGCTGGATCGAGGGGGCAGCCATTCTCTTCTCGGTGATCATTGTGGTGCTGGTGACGGCCTTCAACGACTGGAGCAAGGAGAAGCAGTTCCGGGGCCTCCAGAACCGGATCGAGCAGGAGCAGAAGTTCACGGTCATCCGCAAGGGGCAGGTGATCCAGATCCCTGTGGCCGAGCTTGTGGTGGGGGACATCGCGCAGATCAAATACGGTGAGTGGTGGGAGGGGAGCCGGCCCACAGAGAGTTGACCTGGTCAGTTCAGGCACTCCTACCCCCTGCTGTGCCTGTCTCGCACCTTGCCCCTTCCCTCCTTGAGTTGGCTCAGTCATGGAGCTGCCCACAGTAGAAACTCAGCCGCCGGCTGCCCCCACTTGTCCCAGCATGTCTCAGGCCTGACCTTATAGGGGCTGGTGTCCGTGGAGGATAATGTCGCTAGCTCCACTCTCCCTGCCAACTTTCACCCTGGGCTCCTCACGCGCAGAGGCAGCTGTTGGTGCTAAGCTGAGTTCTGTGAAGTGCCTCGTGCTGTAGCCACTTCCCCAGCGGGGACTTTCACCAAATTGCTTTTGCTCAGGGTCATGCTTTCATTGCACTGAAGAAAAATGTTTCTCCCGTCAGCCATCTTCTCCCCCCACGTCCCTTTGCTGTCCATCACCCACCACTGGGAGTTCGTCTCCACAGCTATGCTGTAAGGAGTGATTTGGACGGGCAGCATGGTGCTTCCTCGTGTGGTTTTGGTTTGTTTTTCCGTCTCACCGTTGTACCACAGCTTAGCCATGCCTTGGGATTCTGGGTAATCTCCCTGGCATCAGGAATTCTTCAGGCCTTGCCTCCCCAGCCGCAGACCAAGAAAAGGGTAGGATGAGCTTTGTGTCGGGCACAGACTGGCCTGTAACGTGTTCCCTCCTCTCTCAGGTGATCTGCTGCCCTCGGATGGGATCCTGATCCAAGGCAATGATCTGAAGATTGACGAGAGCTCTCTGACTGGGGAGTCGGACCACGTCAAGAAATCAGTGGATAAAGACCCCATGCTGCTTTCCGGTGAGGCCACCAGATGTGACCTGTGACCCAAGCCCTTCGCGCTAGGGCTGGAAACCCCAGCCAGCTGCCCAGCCTCTGGCTGCTTTGGGGTTCGGCAGGATTCATGTTCAGACGACCCAGTGCTGGTACCCTCCCAATGCCGGCACAAGTTAGACCAGGTTCTGAGTGCCCATCCTGGAGAATGGGCAGCAGGAGATGGCTAGATCCCTTCTGCCCATTTGTGGTCCTGGTACAGCATAGAGTGGCCCCTCAGCTACTGAACAGACCAAGAATGGTCTTTGTGGATGACCAGCCTTGGAGGGCGAATCCCCTTCCAGAGCAGGGGCAGCAGCAGAACAAGCTTCTGTTGCCCATTGCTCCCTGCCAGTGTGCTTCACCCCTGTCCTGGAGGGGTTTCTGTAGTGTGGAGGCATGCAGCTACTATGTGGGTTGGGGTCAGTATAAGAATCTAGCTAGACTGACCGTTGTGATGGCGATGCCTGTCCCACGGGAACCTGGAATGAGATCCACTTAACTTAAAACGAGGCTCTGAGCAGCCGTCATTCAAGCAATAACTTTGGGTCTCGGTTGCCCTGAGCCAGATTTGAACTGGTGACCCAGAAGCAACAGGCTCTGTACCCCATCCCCCTGAGTCAGATAGTTTGTCTTGTTAAAATAGTCAGGAAGTTGACTGTTAACGTTGTCTCTTCCTGGCTCATGTTTTCCCTTCCCCTCGGTGCTTCATTCCCCTGGCCAGGTACCCATGTGATGGAGGGCTCTGGACGGATGTTAGTCACAGCTGTGGGCATCAACTCGCAAACTGGAATCATCTTCACTCTTCTGGGAGTGGGAGATGGGGAGGAGGAGAAGAAGGTGAAGAAAGGTAAGGAGATCTCTGGGAGCCCAGCTCTTTCCTTCTGGGATGCAGTGAGCTGTGTCCATGGCTGACAGCTGAGGGGGAACACGCAGGCCCGTTTAGTGTGAGTGACTGAGCTGGGCCTGTCAAGCCTTAAGAGATGAAACTGGGGGAATCCCACTTTTGACACCATCAGGTCATGATGCAGCGAATGCAGGGAGCATGCAGCATGAGAAGGCCCCTTCCATGCTTGGGCACCTCGGGGCACTGCCTGGGTTCCCCTTCCAGTGTCTCCTTTGTGACGCACCATCCACCGCTCTGTCTTCATCCAGCCGCAGCTCGGGAGCTTGTGGGAGCAGGGCTTCAGAGGCAGAAAGGGCGTGGCTCTGGAGTTGCTATCAGAGCTGGCTTTGGCAAGGAGGCTGGTGATGGGGTTACTATTACTCCAGCCCCATGGCGGGAGGGGATTGATAGCTGAAATGATCCATGTCCTTCAGACAGTCCAGCACCCGAGGGCTTCACCAGCAGCTTCTTTCTTTCTCTCTCCATTTGTTTTCTCTCTCTCTTTTTCATCCAAAGACATACTCCCCAGCCCCAAGGGTTGACCTGGCAGTGTGGGGGTGGGGAAGGACGGCTAGGAGGACTTGCTTTGCTCCGCAGTCTTGACATCCTCAGATGGTAGGAGTTTGTGCAGGGAAAGGGTCACTCCTGGCTCTCTGACTTTGGTGGGTGGGGAAGTGCTCCTTCAGACCCCCCCACCCAACATCGCATTAGGCTATTGCGAACCTTGAACTCATTCCCATCCCAGCCACCCATTTTCCCCAGGAAAATGCTGTGGGGCCTTGCGGTTAGAGGGTTCAGCCCTTTGCTCTGTCCACTCACTGGCTCCAGGTCGCTCATAAGCCCCTTGCAGTGGTGTGAGCTACAGCGCTAGGCTGATCCCCGTGCTGCTGTCTGAATCCTGGTGTTCTGAAGGCTGACTGCACTCTGGGGGGGGAGCCTGTGTGTGTGTGTGTGTGTGTGTGTGTGTGTGTGTGTGTGTGTGTGTGTGTGTGTGTGTGTGTGTGTGTGTCG